TTATGTATTGTGTGTGTTCATTGTTTGTATACCCCCTCCCTTCATTTTATGTAAGCCGCCCTGAGACCCCTCAGGGAAAAGGGCGGCCTATAAGTATTAATAAATACTCTAAATACTCTAAATACTTCAAAAAGCCAAACAAAGAAAAAAAACCCCACAAAGCAAGACATTAAAGTGCAATAAAAAACACATACACACATATTATCCCCCTAATTCATGTATCTGCAACCTGCTGCTCCAGAGCCTCATGCGGCTCTTTGGGCCCCCTACCATGGCTCCCTGTTGGGTGATCCCACCACTGGCTGGCCGCACCCCTCGCCATCCCCTCCCAGTCAATCCTTGCTTGGCATGAGAAGGTAAGGGCAACGGTGGGGGATGGAGAAGCGGCCAGGGCTGATTTTCCAGTGCCTCACTCTTGCTGGAGCTTGTTCCGGCCCTTGTTGGTGCTGGATGTGCCTTAGTCGCTTGGGGAGACACACAACCTGCTCTCTGCCCTGAGATACTGGCCCAACCCAGCTGCAACTGACGTGGGCTGGCGGGGTGGGAATGGGATCGTGAGGAGGGGATACTAGAAAGGGGAACGGGCCTGCAGCACCCAGCTGTGGCTTTAAAACTTGCACGGGAGACTTTTGCCACCCGCAGGACACTTCAATGAAAGGCGGCAGCGGCGTCGCTCTGCTGGAGGAGTAAAGAAGCTTGGCAGCGGAAGAAGGGGATTGGCCCCACGAAACCTCACACCCACCCCGGGGGTTAGGCTCAGAGAAAGCCGGAGCACCCTCATCAATGATGCTCACCATCAGCCAGTCGCCCCCATCTCTCTCTAGATATATATATATATCTCTATGTGTGTGTGTGTGTATCTGTATTTCTCTCTTTCTGTCTCCTCTCTCTCTTGGAAAGCTGAGGCTGGATCAAGAGTCATTTGGACCCATTTCCCACAGAAAACACTGGGAGCCACAAAACCTGAGTGGGCGTGGCCAACTCGCAGTCACTCACACCTACCCAGTCACATGACCACCCTGGCCATGCCTACCCAGCCCGTTATTAGCGCAGAGAACCAGTTGTTAAAAAACACCTGGAACAACAAAACCCTTTTGACATCTTTCTCTCCCACCCCCTTTCTCTCCATCTCTCTCTGCGTATCTCTCTCCCTGCCCTAATTGAATATTGATTAATATATTACAGCAATATTGGGCTTTCACCCCTAGCAAAACAGGCCCCAAACATTTTTAAAACTACTAAATACATTTGCAAGTTATTAGCCTGTCATCTATATACTATGTTAATGAGTTAACAAGAAAAACAATAACAAAGTCCTCTATTAACAAACTTATTGCAATCAACTCGTAGAAAATTTATCACAGCATCTTATCTACCCCAAAGTATATAATATGCTGTCACAAGTAGTTGGTGTGGCTTAACAGCTTGCTGTCATTCTCTTGGGTGAAGAATAAAGATCTGTATCTTGAAAGACAGCTGAGAAACAAACTGGCGGGGGGAAAAACTTGGGCAAGAATAACAATTCTAACAAATACATTATCACTTGTAGAATCATCTACTGGGAGATCATCTACTGGGAGATCATCTACTTGAGTAATTGTCACAGATGTCTATGCACATGCATGTTAAAGCACATGCAGAAGGAGAAACTGGTTTAGGTATAATCTCAAGAAGTATCAAATTTTGATGTGATTTATCTGGACTGGGCTGCTTTTATTTGATTTATGCATTCATAAGAATATCTTACTAAAACAGTGCATTGAATAAAGGGCATATTTGCAGAAAAATGCATATACTCATAGGCAAGCCCTAAGTAGGGCAGAGCCCAAGCTATTGTTGCAACAACTTTATTGGCACCAAGGAACTTCCAAGAAGCTTGCCAACCTGATTTCAACCACACTAAAAAAGGCAAACCAGATCGTCTCAAGTGGCACTGAATTCTGCAGAGGAATTTTTCCAAAATTGCTGGTCTTTGGATTTGATGCTTCTTAGAAAAGGGAAATCAGGACATAAAGTCTTTTAAGATATGCTTACCAAGCTATTCATCCTTCTCAAGACTATACTTTCCCAAGAAAGATTCCCAAGAGGCACCCTCTCTGCTATCTGCTGATGTTGCTTCCTGCTCTTCTGAAGTTATTTTGTTCAAAACGCAGGTTTTTTAATCTTACAGCACAGGCACAAATCAAGTGTCGGCTAAGCTTTCTGAGGATTACTGTATGTTTCTGATGCTTCCTATCTCTTCAGACCTCCTTCCACACTGTAGTTTGCTGTACAAGTTGCGGTCCAATACCCATTATCTGGAAAGCTACCATTGACCTCCGGGGTGTGTGTGTGTGTTCTGGGACCAGTTTACATAGTCTGCCTCAGATAATTAATGCTTTCCAAAAAGTACTTCAGGAGTTTTCCAGCTCTCTGACAGTCACTTCAAGACCAGGTAGATCATTAGTATCCAGAGGTGACTCAGATGTCAGTCTTCGTTGTCTCTAAGCAACTTCTTTTGGGGCACCATTTCCTTGGTTTACTGAAAAAGGATCAGAAATTTTAAAAAATCAATTTGAACCAATTTCACTCAATAGACCAAGGCATTTTTGCACAGAAAAGGCAAAATGATCATGGAGGAGGTGTCTAACCTATACAAAATAACAAAG